AAGGTACCATGCATGATCTTGAAGCTTTAGAATTGATGACTCAAGGATTTCTGTTAGGATGACTTACAGTCCAGCTCTTCAGGGTGTTTGGGAAAGCTAAACTCCTTTTACTAGTGAAACAAACACCATTTACTAATAAGAAATGCAAATCACTCTTCTTAGTAAGAGCCCAATACTTGCACTTTATTATAGAACTTTGGTGTTGGTTCATTTCACCCAATCTACAGAAATTGAGCTTGATGCTCTGAGCACTAGTCTAATTAATGCTCTCTTCTCTTTAGCTAATTTTTCAGATTTGCTAACAGTCCCTTTGTTTTGGTTCACCTTCCTCAGCACCTTTATGACATGTCTCCTAAAATGATGCCAACAGCCTATTGTAATCTTCTTGTGCTACTTCCGTTCCCCATTCCAGTCAGGCGCATTCCGTTCTTCCAGACTCACACTGCCCCTGGTCACATTCTCCCGGCACTCCCTTACTTCCTCTTCCATTCAGGACATTCCAGCCATCTGCTCACCTTGAGCTCAGAGGCTCACGTTCTTGAAGCTCTTCACTCTAACCAGACCACTGCTACTCTTTACTAAGAACAGAGATGATCAACCTGCAATACGGAGATGACACTGCCTTACTTGCTGAGAGAAGAGGACTTGATGAAGTTCAAAGACTACAGCTTTCAGTATGATTTATATCTCAAGATGAGAAAACAAAACTCCTCACAACTGTACTGATGAAGGTCAATGGCTACAGCCTTCAGCATGGCGCACACCTCAATATGGAGTCCTAGTGTGGAGCTGCAGGTGAATGCACTAAACTGACTATGAGTCGGTTTCAACTACAAGGTCGGTGGATCAACCTCACGGGCTGCTGCTCAGAAATCCTACACAGGGTTTCTGTGAGTCAGAACTGACTCAGCGACACTTAAAACACAACAACAACAAACACCTCTATATGAGAAAATCAAAATCCTCACAAGTGGATGGATGAAGATCAAAGACTACAGCCTTCAGTATGATTTATATCTCCAGATGACAAAATCAAAATCCTCACAAGTGGACCCATAAGCAACATTATAAGAAAACAAGGAAGTTGTCAAGAGTTTCATTGTACTTGGATCCACAATCCATATAAACAGAAGTCAGTAGTCAAGAAATCAAATGACATTGCATCAGGCAAATCTGCTGCTAAAAACCTCTTTAAAATGTTCAAAAGTGAAGATGTCACTTTTTGAAGACTAAGATACACCTAATCCAAGCTGAATACTGAGTAACGAGGATGGAAGAAGAATTGATGTCTTTGAATTACAGTGTTGGCAATGATTCTTGACTCTGAATATACCAAGGACTACCAGAAAAGCAATGGAGCTCTGGTAGCGTAGTGGTTACGAATCGGGCTGTGAACCTTAAGGTCAGTGGTTCGAAACTACCAGCCACTCCGCGGGAGAAAGATGAGGCTTTCGACTCCCGCAAGGATTTACACCCTCGGAAACCCTGTACAGGGTTGCTATGGGTCAGAACCGACTCGACGGAACTTAACAACAACAACAACCAGAAAAGCAAGCAAATCTGTCTTGGAAGAAGTAAAGGCAGAACGCTTAGAATTGAAGATAGTAAAACCTCATCTCATATACCTTGGACATGTTTTCAGGACACTTAGAATTGAAGATGTACAACCTCGTCTCATACACCTTGGGCATGTTATCAGGAGGGACCAGTTCCTGGAAAAGGACTTCATGCCGGCTAAAGCTGAAGATCAGCCAAAGGCAGAAGAAGACTCTCAAAGAGATTGATGGGCACAGAGCTGCAGCAATGGGCTAACCATGGTAATGAGTGGGAGCCTGGGCCAGGACGGGGCAGTGCTTCATTCTGCTGTACACAGGGTCACTAGGAGTCAGAACTGACTGCACGGAATCTAACAACCACCACATTAGATAAAAGCTCTTCTCAAGTCTGATTAGAGAGCTTATGTCTAGTGACCAATCTTCTTCCTTCTTCCCTCAGTGAAAGTCATGGTTCACTACATTGTGCCAAATTCTAGACACTCAAGATTCAGAAATGAATAATACAGATAAGATTTTGCTAATGTAGCTAACATTCTCACTGAGGAAACAGACAACAAACAAGGGAACAAACAAATAAGATGTGATTTTAGACAGTGAGTCTATGTCATGAAGAGAATGGAACAATATAGGTGGTAGAGGAAGCCTGGGCTTTAGATACAGAGGTCGGGGAAAGGCTCTGTGAGATGTGCAGATTGATGAGAAAACTTAGTTGGCCACAAGAAAATCACAGGAAGAATGTTCCAGGCAGAAGGAGTGGTAGGTACAAAGACCTGGAGTCAGGGGAGAGCCTGGCAGGTACTAGAAACACACCAACTTCTCGGCTAGATCACAGTAGTCCTAAGGCGTAAGTGATGATTTGTCCTATCTGAAGCCTTTAATTATCAACCATTCTTTGCATCATTAAGCTCTTCCTCCCATGTACTTCAAAATGCGCAAGCAATTTGTCAGCCTAAAAAATATCCTCTTTAACTTCTGCTGCTTTTTTGGAATGACACCACATTTTCACTAACTTATCTCTAGTTCCTCACTAGCCTCTCCCTTATCTTCTGCTGTATTTCTGACCAAATTCAAATTTTCAGTACTGTGTCCAGGATCATCAATGACGTCTCAGTTTTAAATCCAGTGAACTTTCTTCGAACCTCATCCTCCCTGCTTCTCTGTAAAAATCTTGACAATGTGCCGTTTCAAAATATGACTTTCTTGCACTTTCATGAAGATACATTCTCATAGTCTTCTGACAGTGATGACCTTTCTTTTCAACTGTGTCCACCTCAGCCTCTTAAATGTAGCTGTTCCCTTAAGTTCTTTCTTCCTTCCCAGCTGATTTTTTTCTTTCTTTCTATATTCCTTTCTTTAAACAGCCTCGCTCACACCCATGGCCATAGCCAAGCCCACCCCATGGGTGACTCTTTCAGCTATTTTCCCCCTCAGTCCTGCCTCTGCTTCTGACTTCAAGAAATGTTTTCAACAGCAAGTGAACACCAAACTCAGCTTATTTAAAGCTGAAATTCATCATCTTCCTCCCCAAACCATAAAGTTCTCTTTAGGTTTCCAATTTCCTAAGGGCTGAAATAATACTTAGCAAGTCAAATCACCCCATCTCTGTAATGCTTCTTGCACATGCCTTTTCTGCTCCACTGTCAGTAGGGGACAACTCTACCTCTCATGTACTGTATGTACTGCACCCGTGAGGACCTCCACGTGGACCAAGCCCATCCCGCCAATTGCTTACATGGTTACGATACCCTGTCAACACTCTGACCTCATTGCCTTCTGCTGTCCTCCTTGGCCACTCATTTCCACCCAGAATGGCCGTCTTACTGTGCCTCCAAGAAGCCAGGCTCACTCCCACCTCTGGAGAGCCCCTTTCCAATATATTTCTGAGCTCACAGAGCTATGCTGTCAAAAGCAAAGTTGTCTAAATTGGCCTTCCAGATAAATTTGTGTTTGCTTTTGTTAAGTGCCGTCAAGTCGGTTCTGACTCATAGTGACCCTCCCTGTATAGGGTTTCGGAGAAGCAGCTGTTGAGTTTGAACTGCTGATCTTGTGGTTCAAACTGACCTTGCAGTCGAGTGCTTATCCTGCAGTGCCACACCAGGACTCCAGATAAATTAAGGCACTTCTAAAGTAAGCATCTCAGAATAAGGGTCAATGTAAAATCAATGCATAATGCCTAGAATGATGTGGTATATATACCCTCAAAAGGCTCAACATTAAATAATAAAGAGCAAGAGGTGAAATGAATTAAACAGAATCAGATGGTTGCCAAATTCCTTCTTCAGTATTCTTGATCCTAAGATGTCCATAGCTCTTAAAGAAACCAAGGAGCAATTTACATTTGTTATGACTTGCAGCAATTAATTTTTACTTATAGCAATTATGACTTATAGCAATTCATATTTACTACTGGAGTCCTGGTATGGCATTGCAGGATAATGCACTGGGCTGCAAGGCTGATGTGAACCACAAGGTCAGCAGTTCAAACCCATCAGCCGCTCCTCAGAACTGATTTGACAACACTCAACAACAACAACTGGAGTAATTAACACACCTGCACTTTTTCAGAACATCAAAACAAAGTACTTCAGACTGGGCATTTATTAAAAAATAACCCCAAATGTGTGAATGTTATATTGACCTATATTTTGTTGTTGTTGTTGTTATGTGCCATGGAGTCAGTTTCCGAGGCTGTAAATCTTTACGGGAGCAGAAAGCCTCATCTTTCTCCCACAGAACAGCTGGTAGTTTCGAACTGCTGACCCTGAGGTTAGCAGCCCGATTCGTAACCAGTATGCTACCAGAGATAGGCAATTCTAAAAAAATATTTCTTATTTCTTCCAAAATAATCAATGTGGGAAAGCACGTAATCTTTTGTTACACTGTCATCAAAAGGTCTAAAATCTAAAAATGACTTTAGACAACATAGGAAAGATCTCAAATCAAGTCTTAACCAGGAAAATTTAGAGTTACAGCCCAAGTATTTCTAATTTTTGACACAAATATTTCTAATATTTGACACTATTATAGTGTTTTCTCACAATGTACATTTCATTATTATAAAATGGACTGCTCCACACAATCCCTTCTATGCAAGTCAAGGGAAAAGTTAGGAAATTCCCGAGATGATTTTAGTGGTGTTTAGACATTGGGCAAGCTACTCAAATTGCTCATCTGAAGAGTTTATAAATTAGAAGAGGAATGCAAAGGTTCCCTGGTGGTGCTGTGGGTTAAGTGTTGGGCTGCTAACCACAAGGTTGGTGGTACAAAACCAGCAGCTTCTCCAAGGGAGGAAGATGAGGCTGTCTGCTCCCATAAGGTTTACAGTCTTGCAAACCCTATACCAGGTCGCTGTGAGTCTGAATCAGCTCGCTGGCAGTGGTTTGGTTTGGGCTGTGAATTTTACACATGGGGTTCAATCGTCGACACAAATGCAGTTGGACGTACCTTTTCCAGTGTCATCTCTGTCTCAGCAGCATGGGTCTTCCTCAGCTCCAGCTTCATCTTCTCGGACTCTGCCTTCAGCTTGTTGACAGCATTCTCATGGTCCCTTGCGGCCCTTTGCTTTTCCTCCTCACGAAGGAGACCCAGCTCGACCAGCTGCTGTTTCCTCTGTGAGTTCACATTCACCAGCTCTTCTCTCAGCTTGAGAACTTGAGCCTCCATGTCAGCAATAACCTTGTTTTAAAAATAAAGAGGGGGGATGGGCAAGAGTATGAATAGGAAAGTCACAACAGAAAACAATGCAAAACAAACAATACAAACAGTTCATTCCTTCTTGTCTCATACCCTAGCCCCATGCCATTACCTCCCATCTCAGCGGTAAACACTACCAGAACACATTATCATATATTTAAATCCTTAAGCAACACGCTGCTTAATTTTACGTCTCTAAATAACTTATGTAAATGGAATAATGTTATACATATTCTTCTGCATCTTGTTTGTTCAATTGTTTAACATTATGTTTCCGAGATTCATTCAATGCTGGTGAATTTTTTATTTCAATGATTTCTGCTCTTTTTTTGTTATATTCTTCCCTCTACATTCTTTGGGCTTATTTTGTATTTCCTTTCTTTTGGTTTCTACACTCAACTACGGAAATGTTCCTCTAAATATTGGTTTAGCTCCATCTTTTAGGATTAGATTTGTGGCATTTCCATTTTAATTTACCTCATTTAAAAATATTCATTATGATTTCTTTGAGTTATGAGCCATTTAGAAGTACATTTCTTCATTCCCCAAAACACGAGGTTGGGTGGTTCTTTAGTAACTGACCTCTAATTGCATTGGACTGCTAATCACAAGGTTGGAAGTTCAAACTCACCAGCTGGTCCTCAGAAACTCTATGTAGGGTCGCTGCGAGAATTGAACACTTAGAATAGATTGGACGGCAGTTAACAACAACAAAGTATCAGACAGGATAGTTTCACTGCCCTAAAAATGCCCAGTGATCCACCTATTTCTCTTTCCCTTCCTTCCTCTAAACCAGGGGACCCACAGGCCATACTGTTGTTGCTAATATCCTAAAGTCAGTTCTGTCTCACAGAGACCCTGTATAGGGTTTTCGAGGAGTGGCTGGTGAGTTTGAACCACCATCCTTATAGTTCAAACCAACCTTGCAAGGGTCCAGTGCTTACCCTATGGCACCACACCGGGACTCCATGGACCATATAAGGCCTGCAAAAGCATTTGGTCTGGCCCTGCCAAGGCAACCACAATTCCAGTCATCACGTTTGTTGTGACTTAATTAAATGTTTGACCAAATATAGCAGGCTAATATTTAAGTTGATAAATTTGCTTAGCACGCAAATGATGTTATAAATTTTGGCAGAAAAAAGGTTCCTTATTGATGCTTTTGAGTTATGGTGTTGGAGGAGAATATTGAAAGTGTCATGGGCTGCCAAAAGAACCAATAGATCTGTGTTGGAGGAAGTGCAGCCAGAGTGCTCCTTGGAGGCCAAGATGGCCAAACTTCGTCTCTCATACTTCAGACACATTGTTAGGAGGGACCAGTTGTTGGAGAAGGATATCATGTTTGGTAAGGTGGAGGGTCAGAGAAAAAGAGGAAGACCCCCAACAGGATGGATTGGCCAAGTGGCGGCATCGATGAACTCAAGCGTGGCAACAGTAGTGAGGTTGGCCCAGGATCGGGCAGTGTTTCGTTCTGCTGTGCATGAGGTCACTATGGGTCGGTACCAACTCGATGGCACCTAACAATAAAAACAACCACTGCTCTAAACCATTGAAAACCAACTGCTATAGAGTTCAGTTGACTCCGACTCACGGTGATTTGTTTATGTGAGAGAAGAACTGTGCTTCACAGGGTCTTCAATGGCTGGTTTTTGAAAGTAGATCACTGTGCCTTTCTTTCCTGGCACCTCTTGGGGGGGACGTGAACTGCCAATCTTTCAATTAGTAGACAAGCACTGAACCATTTGAGCCATCCACGGACTCTCAACTACTGACCCACTGATCTTTTTACTGTCGCTATGCTCCGCGGGAGAAAGATGAGGCTTTCTATTCCCGTAAAGATTTACACCCTCAGAAACCCTATACAGTAGGGTCGCTATGGGTCGGAACCGACTCGATGGCACATAACAACAACAACAACAATGGTTTTGCCTAAGGAGTCCTGGGGACATTTAATCTGATTAAAGGTTGGCAGTTCAAACCCACCAGCAGCTCTGTGGGAGAAAGAAGTGGCAGTCTGCTTCCGGAAAGATTCCCATAGCCATTCAGTCGGCTCTGACTCATAGCGACCCTGGATAGGGTTTTCGAGGCTACAGATCTCTTTGGAAGCAGAAAGCCTCATCTTCCTCCTGTGGAGCCATTGGTGGGATTGAACTGCCGACCTTGTGGTTAGTAAAGATCATTGTTGCTGTTAAGTGCCACGGAGTCGGTTTTGACTCATAGCAATCCTGTACAGGGTTTCTGAGGCTGTAAATCTTTTGTTGGAGCAGAAAGCCTCATTGTTCTCCTGTGCAGCAGCTGGAGGATTCATATCACCGACCTTGTGCTTCACAGTCCAGGGCATATTCTATCAAAGCCTTGGAATTCCCATGGCGCTGTTCTAGTCTGTCCTATCGGGTAGCTGTGAGTCAGAATCAACTTAGTGGCAATGGGTTAATACTTTTGCCAGAATGTTATTCCCAGAATATCATATGCATAAAATCATAAGCCTTTCAGACTAGCCTCTTCCATTCAGCAATATGCTTTTAAGGTTCCTGTATTATTATTTTGGCTTGATATGAGAGGACTTCAAAAGGTTCAAGGAAAAAGGAATAAAAAATAATTTAAAATGTACACAAACTTTTTGAAGCCCTCTCATATCTTATTTTCTCTTGTAACCGAAAAACATTCCATTGTATGGTTGCACCACAATTTATCCATTTACCTATGGAAGGCCATACTGCTTGCTTCTAATTTTTGGAAATCATGAATAAAGCTGCTATGAACATTCTATTTGTAGGTTTTTGTATGGATCATACAGATTTGTTTATTTGAGCTATTGATTAAAGACATATGTTACAATTTCCTATTATAATGATGGGGGTACTGTGGCTACATATAATAAACACTGGACTGTGAACCATAAGGTCGGTGGTTTGATCCCACCAGCCACTCCACTGGAGAAAGATGAGGCTTTCTGTTCCCATAAAAGCCTTGGAAATCCTATACAAGACCAACTATGAGATGAAACTGACTCAATGGTACTTAACAACAACAACAACAACATTATAATAATAAATTTGTCTATTTCTCTTTGTTCTGTTTCATTTAGTATTTTGAGGCTATAGTAAACGGTCCAAAGAAATTCTCTATCTTCTTATCTGGAATTTCGTTATTAAATAGTGAATCTCTTTGTCTTTACTACTGATTGCTGTCTTAGTCCCTCTTAGCTGAGGTTATCAGATTTTAATGGCTGCTTCTTGGGTAGAGAGTATTTGCATGATATATTTTTATCTATCCTACTTTAAACCTCTCTGTAACCTCAAGTTTGAGAAATGTGTCTTGCAAATAGCATATGTTGTTGTTGTCAGGTGGTGACCATTCAGTTCCAACTATTAGTAACCCCATGTGTAACAGAACAAAAGGCTGCCTGATATTGGGCTGTGCTCACAAGAGTTCCTATGTCTGAACTCATGTTGCAGCCACCTGGCCAATCTAGATCACTGAGCATCTTACTCTTTTTCACTGACCCTTCACTTTGTCAAGCATAATGGTCCTTCCTCAGGGTCTGACCACTCCTGATCACATGTCTTAAATAAGCAAGGGGAAGTATTGCCATGCTCGCCTCTAAGGAACATTCTGGCTGTATTTCTTAGAAGGTTTGTTGTTAGATGTGTTTATTCTTCTGGTAGTCCATAGTCGACTCAATATTTTACACCAACACCATAATTCAAGGCATCCAGGTCACTGGTAAGGAGTCCTGTTTTTCATAGTGGGTTGCATGCTGGGTTGTTCACCATAAAGTCAAAAGTTCAAATCCACTAGTGGCTCTGTGGGAGAAAGAATGAGACTTTCTGCTCCCGTGAAGATTTACAACTTTAAAGTCAAAAGTTCAAATCCACTAGTGGCTCTGTGGGAGAAAGAATGAGACTTTCTGCTCCCGTGAAGATTTACAGCTTTAAAGTCAAAAGTTCAAATCCGCTAGTGGCTCTGTGGGAGAAAGAATGAGACTTTCTGCTCCCATGAAGATTTACAACTTTAAAGTCAAAAGTTCAAATCCACTAGTGGCTCTGTGGGAGAAAGAATGAGACTTTCTGCTCCCGTGAAGATTTACAGCCTTGGACACTTTATACAAGGTTGCTGTGAATTGGAACCAACTCGACGGCCCTTCCCCACCACCAGTTCTTTGTTCTTCCGGATTCAGTGTCCAGCTCCCATGCAAATGAGGCAACTGAAAATACCCTGACTTGGCCCAGGTGCACCCTAGTCATCAAAATGACATTTTAGCTAAAAACTTGAGAGAGGACTTTTGCAACAGATTTATCCAGTGCAATATGTCATTTGGTTTCTTGGCTGCTGCTTCAATAAGCATTGATTATTGATCAAGTAAAAAGTCCTTGACAACTTCAAGCTTTTTCTATTTATTATGATGTTGCGTACTGGTCCAGTTGTGAGGAGTTTTGTTTATTTAAGGCAGATCCTCAAACAGTACATAAATTTTATATTTTCTTGAAACAAAAAAATCAAATAAACTTTTTGTCTTTTAAATAGTCCAATTAGTTTGTATATGTTAACATATTCACTTTGTAGCTTCTTATTTGGGCCTATTTGCTACACCTAAGGAGCTCTGGTAGCGTAGTGGTTACGAATCGGGCTGTGAACCGCAAGGTCAGCGGTTCGAAACTACCAGCTGCTCCGCGGGAGAAAGATGAGGCTATCTGCTCCTGTAAGGATTTACAGCCTCGGAAACCCTGTTCAGGGTCGCTATGGGTCGGAACCGACTCAACAGCACTTAACAACAACAACAACAATTCTATGTTTAGGTGTCCTGGTGTGGCGATGTAGGATAAGCACTGGATCACAAGGTTGGTTTGAAACACAAGGTTGGTGGTTCATATTCACCAGCCACTCCTTGGGAAATCCTATACAGGGTTGCTATGAGTTGGAGTTGACTCAATGGCACTTAACAAAACAACAATATTCTATGCTCACTTCTTTCTGTTTTT